ATGGAGCTAACACAGGAAGCTTCCCTTGCCCGAAATGCAACAAAAGCCATAGAGGCAAGGACTGCATGGGCAATCCCTGGCGATGCTTCAACTGCGGAGAGGAAGGACACAAGGCCTTCCAGTGCACTCAACCCCAAAGGCCACGCCCCACCTCCACGGGTCAACACGGGGGCACCACTCACCAAGGAAACTACGGCGCTCCCAGAAAGATATTCGTCATGAGCCGCACCCAGGCCGAACTCGGGAACGAGAACAACCTCGAGGAGGGGAACCTAACACCAGAAGACGAGGACCACGCAAACCCCGCGGAAGAAAACCAAGAAGACGAGTTCTGTCTAGGATAAACTGGCAAATTCCTTGTAACCACCTTCGTAGTGGAACTACTTACTTAGCTTAATTACTTCGGAATTATTATAAATAAAAGACTAGATCGAAATTCGATCTTACGTACGGGGGTGGAACTAAAATTATACATAAGGAAAACAAACCAAGCCTTCCACCACTAGAAAACAAAAGAAGGAAAAAGACAAGGACCACACCATCCAAAAAGAAAGCCTAGTGTCACCAATGGGAATTGAACTCTTGACCTCTCACATACAAGACCAAAACCTTGACCACTAGGCTAAAGATGCTTCTTGAAACCTTGAGGGAACACTCCCTTCTTAAAACCCCTACAAACCCCTAAATCCCACAAAATCCCCAAATCAAAAACCCTTCTTCTCCTCCTTCCTCACACCCTCCCAATCTCACCCTCACCCTCTTCGCACCCCACCCCAAGACTGGCGGACAGCCCCCACAAAAACCCACCGGCCACACGCCGCCGCCACCAGCCAAACGACACCCGTCGACCTCGCACCGCCGATCTGCCGCCCAGCCGACCGCCCCGCCTTCGCCCGGAGGTCGCCCACGTCGCGCCCATCCGCGACCCGCTGCCCAGCACCGCCGATCGCGCACCCAGCCACCACCACAGTGCGCCCCCCCCCCCCCTCTCCTCGCCGTTCGAACCCAACGGAAACACCAACCACCGCCCGAGCCTCGCCGGAGTCCCGCCGGAAAGTTCGCCGGAAAACTTCGTCACCGAGAAATGCTTCACAATGCCAAAGAAACCCCTCGGAACCCGTACCCCGGAATGGAGCAACGCCGGCTACACCGTAATCGGAGGTAAAGCCCTTGAACCTGACCAATTTTCTCCAGAATTGGTCGATATGCTTAATCACCAAGGGCTTTTGGATACGTACCTCACCATCAAGGGGGATATTTACCCCGAATTGGTGAAAGAATTCTATCAACATCTAGTAGCCACCAAACGGGGTGATAAGCTAGAAATCACCACCAAGGTCCGCGGCAAGGAAATCATACTCTCCGAAGGCCGCTTGGCCAAGCTCTTGAAATTGACCACCACGGGTGTGTCAAATTACGACCGAAAAGTGTGGATTGATACAAAGAATACGGTGTACAAAGACTACCTCGGGTACCTACTCGGGAAAGAGGAAGGGTTCACCTCGGCCATGCGACCAAATAGGAAGTGGCTAACGGCGGAGCAAAAGATATTGGTTATGATTGTAACCGACAGCCTCTTGCCCACAAACAATAAGAGCAAAGACGTAGGGAGTTTAGAGTGCACTTTTACCTATCTCTTGAAACACAAAATCAAGTTCAACCTACCGGCCCTCATGCTAAAACACATGGAGTTTTGCAAGACGAGCAACCGACTTAGCCTGCCCTACGGGATGATCCTAAGTTAGATCATGGAGAAAAAGGGGGTGGACCTAAGCCACACTGAGGTCAAGACTGTAAACGGCGTGATCTTTAACGCCCAAAACCTCCGCCGCAATGATATCTACTACACTGAAGGGGGACAATACCTCACCCTCGAAGAAATTTGCCTAAAACCCGAGGAGGAGCGAAGGGAATTGGTCGACCGATTGGACATCTCCAACAAAAAACTCAAACGAGCAATGCAAGATTGTGGGGGCTTAGAGGGAGATGAGGATCAGGAGGAGGAAGATGAGCCTAACCCATCGGCACACCCACGATCAGGAGGGAACCCAAGGGAACAAAACGAGGGCTCGGTCAATGAGTGCATCCTAGCGCAACTCAACCGGCCAAACCAAATCATGGAGGAAGGGTTCTCGTCCTTAATCCGCACGACAGGCGCATTAGATCATAGGGTGGCAGCAATCGAGGCGACCTTGGGCACTCGCAGGGCATCCAGCTCCGGAGCAAGAGACCCAGGTAGACCCAAACTTCCTTATCACCACAACACCAGAAGTCCAGTCTACCCCAGCTAAGACAAAACGTGGGGCCACGTTCCTAACTAGGAGGCCAAAATGAGGGATGTCCAGGGGTGAAAGAATGGATTAACACACCGGGCTTTGGGGACGAAGCCCCTTGTAAGAGGGGGGGGGGGGGAGAGTGTAACACCCCGTGTTACGACCCCTAAAACCAATTAATCATTTAACCAATTATCCAAAGAAAGAATTAAATTACAATAATTAATTAGGAAAAGGCCCACCATAGTCCGTGGGCCTCACCTCTAAAAACCCAACTCCTAGTCCTAAAAGGAATAGAGTTAGCAAGCCTATAGTATTTGGGCCCTAATTAGGACTCTTAGATATATAAATAGGGGACATAGGAGGCACCTAGAACCCACACCACAATAATCTCTCACCACACAAGGAGCTCCAAGAATTCCCCTAGGAGAAATCAAGAAAGAAGGAAGACTTAGAGAAAGACCCATCATAGCCAAGGAAATTAATTAAGGCTAAGAGGTAACCCATGTCTCAACAAAACCTATTTTCTTAGCTATGATCTCCCTCTAGGCATCCCTCTACATTCTTGTGTATTGATGATTCGGTTATGATATTAATGGTGTGATCTTGATAATTGATGTTATGATTTCTTGGGTAATCTTGATAATCTTGATGATGGAAAGAGATTCTTGATGATTGTGTGATATTCTTGATAAACGTAGATTCCTAATGATTGTGTGATATTCTAGATAAATCACATTGTTGCTTAAAAGATGAATTGCGTTCTTGATGATTTAAATATAATTAGAGCCCTAGGATGTATCGTGACACTCGTGTGGTGTTATTCTTGATATATTGGGTGGGAATTCGCATGTTTGGGTGTCAATTATGTTTCGAAAGCATGATAGGATATATGTCGTATGTTTCTTGCTTTTGATCCGTTAATTGTCTACGTGTTGTCATCGATTGCGTTTAAAGGTGTCTAAGCATGGTTTCGGGTTCCACAAAGGTTCCCGGGGCATTATTTGTGAAAAAGAGTCAGTGGGGGGTACGTGGGGGTAGGGGAACCGCCACCTACCCGCGACCAGGTTTGGCGTCGCCGGCAGCGGGTAGCCGGCGGGCAGGCGACTGCCCGCCGAGCACCCGCTGCCCGGAAATTCGTCGCCACTGGAAATTGTCCCACTTCGGGATCCCGGCTTCCCCTTTTGATGTTCCCCTGATCCCCGTGGTGTCCCAACGGACTCCGTCTATCATGCCTATGTCTAGTTTGATGTTCGGGTACCATTCGTAGGTTGAATAAGTTTTATATATTACATGCTAGTTGAATTGGTATCCCGTTGACCTAGGAGTAAGAAGTATGAACCCCTTAGGATTATTCTTAGTATGTGGATGATCATGCATAGGTTTCGTTATACGATTTCTCCCCCTTCCCAATGTGTCAATGTGGGTTGCATGTGTTTGTTATGTGTTGTGTGTGCATGATACCCCAATTTCGTTGCGATCAAATTGGTTATTCCTGAGCTGCGGTTCAGAAGCTGGCTGCGGTCAGATTTACACTCTCGGGCTGCGGTCCACCGTTTGGTTGCGATCAAACGTTTTACATGAGCTGCGGTTCATATTCCTGGCTGCGGTCAGATGGCTACTCTTGGGCTGCGGTCCACTGTTTGGTTGCGATCAAACATTATGATGAGCTGCGGTTCATCGGTCGGTTGCGATCAACCCCTCCGTGTTGCAATACGGGGTAGGGTGCTGCGGGGCCGTGTCAGAGCTATATACGCTGACCCTCATGTATGGGCATGCGATTGGTCCTGTGGCGCCATCAAAGTGTGCTATGTGATGAGATATAGATGGTTTGATGTTATAAATGTTATGAAATCGTGACCATAGGATACATGCTAGTAAATCGTATATGCTTGGTTATGACTATTGGTTGTGCTTATCTCTATCTGTCAAGTCTGTTCCCTATGCTTGTAAATTGTGTGACTGTTGACTGTGCTTATCCCGAGCTGTCGAGTCTATTCCCTGTTTTAAAAGCTAGAGTCTCTTAGGATATATCTTCATGCTTCAAAATGGTTTTTCTTATATCTATGTATATATCTATATGTATTGTATTTCAACGCGTTGGAGTGGGTTACCAGCATCTCTCGCTGAACAGATATATTTGGCTTTTAGGCACAGAGGAGTAGACACTGGAGCGCGCTAGAGTCTTGGAGCGTAGAAGTAGATAGTTTCCCTTTCGGCCTGCGTGCCATGCTTATGCATTTACATTATTGAGGATATTAGTTGGTTAGCCTGTGCACCTGAGTTCTCTAGCTCAGGTGTGGCATAGCACCCCGTACTCTTTATGTTATATCTTGGGATTTAATGAGAATTTACCTTTATTATATAAGTCTTAAATGTTGAAAAATTTCGGGGTGTTACAGCCTGAGCAGGCGGTATCAGCCATCGTCGCCGGGAGGAGGTGATCTTTCTCACGGCGTGGCTGCAACCGCCTGAGCAGGCGGTATCAGCCATCGTCGCAGGGAGGAGGTGATCTTCCTCGCGGCGTGGCTGGAACCGCCTGAGCAGGCGGTATCAGCCATCCTCGCGGGAAGGAGGTGATCAGATCTAGAGAAGAATCCCGTTGTCGAAATAATTGAACTTTATTATTAACAGACTGGCGGTTAATTCTCACGAACTATTGGTAGCTAGGTGCCTACAATGAACTAATTGAAAACAAAACTCGGAAAATGGAGTGTGACCGATCGGTCACTTATAGAATTTCTTGAGGTGATGAGCATTCCAAATTCTTTCCACGGGCTCGCCCTCCGTGGTTTCTAACCGGTAGGTCCCCGGGTAAACCTTGCTCACCACCCAGTACGACCCATCCCATTTAACCGCCATCTTTCCTCCTTCAGTGGGTCGGCTGGCCGTCCTTTCTCTTAGCACAAGATCTCCTATCTCGAGGTATCTGACTTTCCCTCTTTTGTCTTGATAGCGCTTGACGGCCTATTGGTACTCGACCATCCAGGCATAAGCCACATCCAGTCTCTCCTCTAAGAGATTCTTTTTAATCTGCAACCGGCTGGGCACTAACAGTTCGGTCAGAACCTTCGCCTCGAACCCATACGCTAAGGCAAAAGGAGTTTCGACCGTTGCCCGCCGAGCGGTCGTCCGGTAGGCCCATAATACTTTCTCCAATTATTCGACCCATGTGCCACCCAGCTCTTCCAGTTTCTTTCGCAGCCCGTCTAGAAGGGTACGATTCAGATTTTCGATCTAACCATTGGCCTGAAGGTAGGCCACAGATACCTTGATGTGCTGGATGCCGTTCTGCACTCAGAAGGCCGCAAAGGCTCGGTTATCGAATTGTCGTCCATTATCGGTCACTAATTGCTCAGGCAGTCCGAATATGCATATGATGTTCTTCCAGACAAACCGGCGGCACTGATACTCGGTGATAGTCGCCAAAGGCTCCGCTTCTGCCCACTTAGAGAAATAATCCACGGCCACTATATAGAAGCGCACTCGTCCGGGCGCTAGAGGGAGCGGCCGTCACATATCGATGCCCCACTTGGCGAAGGGGATCGTGGTGGTGATCGGTGTATAGAAGGTTGCCGGTCGGGTGCTCTTTTCAGCGAACGATTGGCACACGGCACATCTTAACACTTCTTCAATACAATCTTTTACCATGGTCGACCAGTAATAGCCCTGAATGATAAGTTTTATGGCCAAAGTATTGGCCCCCTGATGGGCCGCATAGATTCCCCGGTGAGCGGCAGCCATCACAGTCTTAGTCTCCTTGGGGGATAAGCAACGCAGTAGAGGACCTCCGTAGGATCGCTTGTAGAGCAAGCCGTCCACCAACTCATAGGAGGAAGCCTGCCTCCTGATGCGACCGGCGTCTCCCTTCTTATCCGGCAACTCTGATTTCTATTTGTACCTGACCATGTCTGCAAACCATGGCCAAGCAAAGGAGTCCTCCGGTCTAGGCGGGGAAGTAGGTGCCCAGACAACTATGCAAACCGAGAGCACATCAGTACTTGGTCGTTCTATGATCTTGGTGTGACAAGTCATCGACAGGTAGGGAGGCACACTTCCCGCAGCCAGCTTGGACAAGATATCTGCCTCCGTATTTTTCACTCGTGGGATGTGGGTGATCTCATAGGCTTCCAGTTTATCCAACAGTCCCTCGACCACGTCCTTATAGAGTATCAGCCTTTCTTCTCTGGTCAAGCATTCATTCTTCAGCTGGTTAACCACCAGGCGGGAATCCGTCCTTATGCGCACCCGAGCGGCATAAAGGGCGATGACTAATCACAACCCTCCTATGACTGCCTCATATTCCGCCTCGTTATTTGAAGTTTTGAAGTTATACCTTAGGGCGTAGTACAAGCGAAATCCTTCGGGGGTGGTGATCATCACCCCGCCTCCACAATGTGATTTTACACCATTCCGCTGCTTCCGGGCCTTCGACCAGCGAGCCCTCCGTCGGGTAAGCGAAACATTCCACTATGAACTCGGCGAGAGCCTGAGCTTTGATAGACGGCCGCGGGGCGTATTCGATCCCGTACTGGGTGAGCTCTATCACCCACTTGAGCAATCGTCCGGATGAGGCCGGATTGTGTAGCATGCTAGCTAGAGGGAGATCGATTAACACCCGGACTGTATGAGCTTGGAAGTAAGGCACCAACTTCCTAACCGTCATGATGAGGGCGAAGGCTACCTTCTTGAGCAGGGAATAATAAATCTCTTCCTCCTTCAAAGTCCGCCCGACGTAATAGACCGACAGTTGAGCCTTCTCATCCTCCCGTACTAACACAGCTCCGACCGCCTTATGGGAGACGGCCAGGTATAATAGCAATGTCTCTCCTGCCTTGGGCTTAGATAAGAGTGGCAGAGCTAGGAGATACTTCTTCAAGTCCTCAAAGGCTGCCTGGCATTCTTCAGTCTACCGGAACCCGTCCTGCCTCTTCATGACTTCGAAGAAGGGAAGGGCCCTATCAATCGCTGCATTTCTTTGAGGCTGCTGGGCGGTCGCAAATCCAAAATAGCTCGCACTTTCTCTGGGTTCGGCTCGATTCCACGCTGCGTGACCATATATCTCAGAAACTTTCCTCCCCGGACCGCGAATGCACACTTCTTGGGATTCAGCTTCAAGCTAAATTTCCTCATAATTTCGAAGCATTCCATCAGGTCCTTCACGTGGTCTGTCTCCTCCTTGCTCTTAACGAGCATTTCATCGACGTAAACAGCCATAGATCCGCCCATCAACCCTTTGAACAATCGGGCTACCATTCGGGTGTATGTGGCCCTAGCGTTCTTCAGACCGAAAAGCATTACCCTATAGCAGTACACCCCGTCCGGTGTGATGAAGGCGGTCTTTTCTTCGTCTGATTCATGCATAAATATCTGATGGTATCCACGGAATGCGTCCATGAAGCTAAGCAGAGCACACCCGGTAGTATCATCGACCAGCTGATTGATTCGGGGGAGAAGGAACAGATCTTTGGGGCATGCTTTGTTGAGATTGGTGTAATCGATGCACATTCTCCACACCGGCGGCTTGGGCACCAACACAACGTTGGCTAGCCAGCCGGGGTACTTGACCTCTCGGATGTGCCCCGCGGCTAATAATGTGTCCACTTCCTTCTTTACGAAGTGTGACACCCCGTAAATCCAAACACTAATCAAGGATTAATTAAAGAATTAATCCAAGTCTCTTTGTTAATCTATTCCTAAAAATCCTGAAATTTAATAGTCAAAGGACTAGATTTTGACTAGTCACTTAAGTCAAAGGGTTGTACCCTTGTTCCCTTGTCTTTCCAACATTAGTAAGGGTAGGAATGTCTTTCTACCTAAGGTTTGTGATTCAAGCTAACCTAACAATACTCTTTCATTTCATTCACCCTTCAATCTAAACACAAAAACCCCTAGCCTCTCTCTAGAATGGTTTAGCTTCTTTTCCAAGCTAGAATTTGAGTATCCAAGTCTTGCAAGTTTGTCTCCCAAGATTCCTACTTTCTTCATCTTGAGTATAGGGGAGGGTAAGATCCTTGGTCTTTTGGTGTTTTTAACCTCCTTTTAGGTGTCTTTTTCTAAAGATAGAATCTTTGTTGTCTTTTGGTTTGTGTATGAAGTTGGTGTGGAAGAGGAGCTGTAGGAAAGGCTTTCTAAGGGTGAAAAGAGGAAGTTAATAGGCTACAAAGCTAACCCATGCTTTACAAAACCTATTTTCTTACTTATATGATGATTCCTTGGCTTCTACATGTGATTCTTGTGTTGATTTGTGAGATTTTATGCATTGTCTTATGGTGATGCATGTTTAGAGCTTGTTCTTAGGGTTCTTGTATGCCATTGCTTGGCTATTTCTTGGGTTCAAGTCATATTGTTATTGTGTGTGAGATTTTGGGTGTTTTGGACCTGAATTTGGACTTGTTGTTGAAAATAGCCGAAGAGATTTTCGTGTACAGGATGTGGTACCCGCGGGCGGAACGGCGGCAGAGGCCTACCTGCCGCCCCACCCGTTGGGAACGTAGCTCTCGGGTGTATGTACCCGCGGGCGGAACCGCTGGTGGTTGTCCACCCGTGGCCCCACCCGCAGGGAACATGTTGGTTGTTGGCGGGGATTTGTTCCCCGTGATTCTTTTGACTCGGTATTGATGTTTTGACCTCCCGATGTTGTTTTATTGGGCTATTTGTGAGTCTTCTTGATGTTTTGTATGTCTAGAACGATAATTTAGGGATCCATGTAGGATTTGGTGTCTTGAATCGTGCTTAGGGTCCAACCTTGTGATTCGTTGGGCTAATTGTGAGTCTTGAATGTTCTTTGGAACTACTTTTGGTTTACCCGTTTAATAAGCATACTAGTTTGATGTTGATATACTAGTGTATGTGGTTTGTTCCTTCATATTGATATTGCCAACTTGTGTTGACAATCATTTGGTGTTGGATTGTGATCCTTTGTTGTTGAGTATGGTCTCATGTCCTTATTGTGATCTCTTGATTGATTCCAATGATATGATCGTATGTTAATCGTTGCACCTTTGTTGATACTTGATTAAGACTATTGTTGAGTCTTAGTCTTCTTGGTAATGATGATGAACTTGTGTGACTATGATTGAGATTGGTGGTTTGTTACTTGAGCTTTGCTCACGAGATTGGCAGTTTTGTGATATGATATTTAATGGTACCCTCGTGTACTGAGAGATCGGTGGTGAATAGGAGTGTCGGCGGTGGGGGCGACGGTCCCCAGAGGCAAAAGGTTGGACTCAGAAGTACAGGGTGGCACTAGGAGGTAAAGGTTGGAACTGAAATAAGGTCGGGGGTAGCCATAAGGTTGGACAGGGCATAAGGTTGGAACTATGATACTTGTGACATGTAGTTGTCACTATGGAATGTAGTTGCCACTATGTGAATGTGAATTCTTTGCTTATGAGCATGTCTTGATGTATTCTACTTTGTGATCAGTAGAATGCATCCTGAGTTGTTTGTCTTTCATGTTGTTTTGAGGATGGTGATTCGTCTTTCTTTTGAGAGTGTTTGATGAGTCTTTGAAGTTGACTTCTCTCTTGGGATTTGAAATGATATATACTGTATATCGTTTCAAAATGGTTTTGTTTATAGTTATCTATATATGCTATTTAACGCGTATTGATGGGTTACCAGCAATATTCGCTGACCGGGTGTTATCCCCATTTTATTCTCCTTGTTCTTCAGGTTTTGAGTAGATGTTTGAGAGCGCTATACGTGGATCGCTAGATAGATTAGCTGTCCTGTGTAGACGTTATGTTTTTGTTGGCCTGTGAGACTAGTGTAGCGGCCTGTGTGCCTAGATACTTTATGTTTTGTTTGAATTGATAGTTTTTCCGCCTTGCACCTATGTCTGAGATAGGTGTGGCATAACTCGCCCCGATTTTATATAGCTTCCGTTGCTTTTTGTCTTGATGATTAGATGTTTTCCTATGCTTTTAAGTTTTAAAATGTGGTAAAAATCGGGGGTGTTACAAGAAGTCTCTACGGTCATTTGATAAGTGTCTCCATTTCTAAGCCACGGGCTTGAGGCTGGGATCAACCGCCAACCTGTGGGTTATGGTTCACCGGTCGACCCCCGGCATGTTCTCGGGCCCCCATGCAAATAGTTCCTTGTACTCCTTCAAGACTACCGTGATCGCTTGCTTTACGAGGGCAGGCCGGTCCCGATCCGGACCACCCTGTCATGATGTCCGTCCTCCGGGCTGACCCGGCCAAGGGGGTCCTGACTGGTCGCATCTGTTCCCGGGCCAACCCCAGCTTCTGAAAGGCTTCCCAGTACAACACGTTGATGCTACTACTCGTGTCTACCAGCACCCATTGGGTGATAGATCCTTGGATATCCATAACGATGACAAGGGCGTCCCAGTGCGGTGCGGGACCTCTAGGCAGGTCGTCGTCCGAGAAGATAATCGGTTCTCTACATATCTTCTTCTGGTCTGGCTCTTGGCAGGCCATCGCGCCCACATATAACTGCTGGGCGCGCGCTTTTCGGTCTCTTGCAAAGTCACCACTTTCATGGCCCCCCCACTATCATGTTTATCACTGGCTTGAGCTTCCAATTATGCTCCCCGTCATCATCTTGCCTAGGCTGCTTGCCCTTATCTCCGATTTTCGACCCACTCGGCTCGGTCGCGCCCCTTTGCCCGACTGGTACTTGCCTACGCCATTGGTTGGGAGGCTGTGGCCGGCCAGGCTTGATAAGCACCTCAATTTCCTCTTTCAACCCCTCGCACTCTTCTGTGGAATGACTGCTCGTGCGGTGTTATCGGCAATAGAGCGGGGGGTTGGTGCCAACTATCTGGGGCCTATCGCCCGGGCGGACAGACGGAGGGGGAGGCAAATGGGCGCGAACCTCGTGGACAGGCTGTGTCATCGGCCGGGGTGCCAGAGCTCCTAGTCAATCCATGATTCGACGAGCTCTCACACGAGTAAAGCCTTCCTCAGCTGCTTGCCCCTCGCGGGGGTTATCTGTCGGGGGTCTCGTTGAAGAGATATCTTGTTTGCGCTTCTGCCTTACTGCTTCCTCGGTATCGGCCAACTGATTGGCCCTCTAAATGGTCTCCGCATATGTCTAGGGATTCTCGTCTCGCAATCGACTATAGTGCCCGTCTGCTCTTAGGGACTCAATGAAGAAAGTCAAGGCTGTCTGATGATTTAGGCCGTCTACCGCCTGTGCCTACTTCTGCCAGTGCGCGATGTACTTGAGCAGACTCTCCCCCTCGTCTTGATGTACCCGGGCTAGGTTAGAGACGGACTTCTTAGGCGTCATCCTTCCGGCAAAATGCGTCAGGAACTGGGTAGCCAACTCCTCAAAGGTATGGATGCGAGATGAGATGAAGGGCACAATGAAGAAAGTCAAGGCTGTCTGATCATTTAGTGCCCCGGGGGGAGCCTGAGAAACACCTCTGAGCCGGCATAGTAAGCGTTGGGAAGAATGCCCGACAAATCATTGGGGGGTCGGCCCCAACCACCTGCATTTTGGCCTGAAAGCTAATGACGTGATCTCGCGGGTCTCCCATGCCATTGTATGTCAGGTGTTCAGCCAGCTTAAACCCGACTAGTGCCCTATAAGCCTGCACCTCAGCCGAGAAAGGCGAGGCAGTTAGGAGGCTGCCCGTGGCCAGCTTGTTTCCGCCTTCAACCATCTGTCGGAGCTCTCGAATGGCGATATATAACCCAGCCATTTCGGGGTTATCCCAGCTGGGTGCCCTGGATGACTCCCCCATACCTTTTGCGGCTTCTTGCCTTCGTCGAGCAGCTGCTCTTCTTAGGATGATGGCATGCGGCTGCTCGCTGACTGATCGATCAGGCGGTTTTTGCTCGCCGTGTCCCCCAAGGCCCTCCATGATCGATCGTGCCAGGGCTACGGGTCCGAGCCTGGAGTGCACCGAGTAATCAGCCAGGTGATCAACTAGTGGATTAACCCCTGAGTGTTCCGAATGTCTGGATACCCCTTGTTGAGCCTCCACAGGAGCCGACCGCTCGGGCTGCGGGATCTGTTCCCGCCCACGCACGTATGCTTCGAAGGCCTGCCCCTATAACTCTGCGAAGTTGAGTTGAGCCTGAGCGATAGGTGGTGGCGGGTTTTCCCTCGGCGGATCAGGGGTCGGCGCGACAGTACGCGCGGTACGTGCAGCCGACTGCCCCCCGGAGGCGTGGTGATTTAGTTGCTCCCTTAGGTTACCGAGGATGCGCGGCTGCCGGCGGGATGTTCAATCGGGTTTGCGATAACCGCCACATGCCCGTTAGCCGGCAGGGCAGCGACGTTGGGTCCAGTGTTGCGATTGCTACGCCTCGTTCTTGCCATCAGTAAAGCTTGAGAACGGGACCTTTAGCTTCGATCCCCACAGACGGCGCCAATGTTGGTTTTCACAGCGTGGATGGCTGCCCGGCAGGCCAACACTACCGGATAACTGTGTTTGTATGTGTAAAAGGAGTCTTATTTCTTTAGGGTGTTGCCCTTGAAAATATGTCGCTCGCCAAGAGAGAGTTCGTCCCGTGGGGATATTTATACA